AATTTAAACCATCTCCTCTCATGTTTTTATGACCTGATCTAATCTGTTGTTTATAAACTGGTTTGATTCAACATCTGATTTACTCTGGACAAGCTGACATGTTTTCTAACATCACCGACCTTCTGTCCGTTAGCTCCACGCCGCCCCACGGATCCCGGCGCTCCAGCCACTCCCGGTCCTCCCTGCACGAAATAAAAAGTCAGAGCAAGAACAGCGATCTGGAATCTGAGTGTCCGTGAACGCACCACCACACAACGGGGGCCTCCTTACATCTCCATCCATCTGTGTGTTGAGAAACCTGCCGAGTCATACATGACGTCATGCGGTCGACATATGATTCATTGAAACTCGGATGTCCATGTTTGTTAACTGATAAACAATAAAAGCTTTTTATTCAAACACAGACAGAAACTAGAATCTCCACCTCGTCACCGATGTGAAGAAACAAACCGACCGAAGTTATCAAGAGGTCAGAAACAGCTGAGCTCCCTGTGACCTTTGACCTCCCGACTCTACTCACTTCATCTGTGAGTCCAACTGAACGTTGGTGTTTGTGTTCGGACTCAAGAAACAGACGGAGTCGCTCATTACTGCTCATGAACTGAACAGCTGCTCAATCCAATGCTGCTCAATCATAATGTGTTTGTAAAATTATCATTGAAAATATAAAGTTGGAATTAATGAATCTGTGGGATCTGTAATCAGTGTGTGTGTGTGTGTGTGTGTGTGTGTGTGTGTGTGTGTCAGTCTCTGACCCTCTGAGCTGCAGCCAGAGAACAAAAGACTTCCAGACGTCAGACTTTTGTTTATAAAGTAAATCATTTGATCATAATGTTGCTACAGCTGAAAACACTGAAGCACGTTTCTCAGAACAACGTCACGTCTGTTTCTGAGCTGCGATGAAACGGATCAGTTCAAACTCAAACATCTGCAGACTCTTCGTCTCTGTGCATCATCAATCCAATCAATAACAATCAAATGGTTTTCTCGAGGAAACGTCTGAGGAGGGTGCGAGTGACCGATCTCTGTGTTTATGAGTTAGAAACTGCTCCGTGTCTCTGAGCTGGTCTGTGATCAGCTGAGCGGTAAACGCAGACTGACCTGGGGTCCGGGAAGTCCAGCGCCTCCTCTCGGCCCAGGTTGACCTCTGACCCCTCGGGAACCCTGCAGAGACGACATGTGACTGTTTGGAGACGCTGGTGAATTCTCTGCTGGTGGTTAACAAGCTACTGTCCTGCTGAGACCACTCACCTGTGGACCAGAAGCTCCGGGGCTGCCTGGGACTCCTGCATCTCCTGGCCGACCAGAGGCCCCCTGCAGGAGGACACACACACACACACACACACACACACACACACACGCACACACACACACACACAGGTGTCACATAAACCGTCACTCACAGCTCAGAGCGTTGTTTGATTTCCTCTCTCACCTTCTCACCAGGCGGCCCTCTCCTTCCATCTGGGCCCTGAAACAGAAACATCTCAGTTTGAATCTTATCGTTTCTTTTTTGTCAGAATCTTTGATCTCGTTCTTTGATTTCTCAGAGAATAATTCACGGATCTCGATGAAAACAATCAGACGTGTTTATAAGACTGACATTTATGAGCGTGAGACAAATGAAATGATCTCGATCTAGTTTATGTTGTTGTGTTGTTGTTGTGTAACCTTCAACCTTTGGAGGGAGACAGATTAAGATAAAGTCAGATAATCCTTTATTGATCCCCATCGGGAAAATGTGGCATTACTGCAGTAAAGAGTAAATAAAGGTAAAAAGAACACCAAGAGAACATAATCAAATAAAACTGTATAAGAAAAGTTAAACATATGTTAGATATTAAAATATTTAGAGCAAATCCAGAATCCAAATCTCATCCTGATATTTATTCCCTTGTATGGGTCAAACACTGGGTCCCACATTTCCCATAATGCAACAGTTAGTGTCTCTAAATTCAGTAACATCACAGCTCTGTCATTAAAGCGTCATTTTAAAATATGACGGTAAATAAATCTCACCAGGTTTCCAACTATTCCGCTCTCACCGGAATTTCCGTCCTCTCCAGGTGATCCCTGTGGATTGAAACAAGTTTCATCAGAGAAAGTAAATCACCAACAGATTCAGTTTGTACAATCGAGTATTTTCCTCACAAACAATATTGATTTTCTGTCCATAAAGACACAAACGTTTACTGAGAATTATCTAATACAACTGGCTCAGTATCCCACAATGCATTGTGAAAAGTAGCCGTAGAGGAGAGAGAAAGTTGTAACCTGTCGAACAAATCTCCTGTTTCCTCTGAACTTTTTAAAAAGTGTAAAATAAAGGAAGATTAAAAATAATGATTCATGTAGATTAGATGAACTTTATTGATCCCAGTTGGGAAATTGTTGAAATTGCGTAGAAAATAAAAATCTGCTCAAATAAAATGAGAATAAAAGAAACAGACGTGAATAAAAAGACTCAAATGTGACTGAATAAAAACTGAAACTCTGAAACTGAAAAACTTTAATATTTTCATGTGAAATATGATTTAATTATTCATGTTGATCAAATATGTGATTTCTTTCTAAACCCAACGATCGATTGAGTTTATCATTGAAATATCATATATGCACGTTTATAACACGTATGTTCACATGTGTTTCATATCATACATTTATTCACTGATGTTGATGAAGCTCATTTTCGTTTGTTGTGACCTTTCACCCTCAAACCCTCGTTCTGTGACATCTCTTACCGGTAAACCCGGGTTGCCGGGTTCCCCTTTGGATCCTGGTGTTGTGTTGTCAGCGCCTGATTCACCCTAAACAAACAAAAACACAAATACACATCCATCAATTTTCAAAGAGGGATTTACTGCTGTTTTTACCTCAGTTCAAAAATCCATGTGGAGACCGACTCAGACCATTTGACCATTTTCCACCAAACATGAAGTAACAACATCAAGACTTTAACGTCGTCAGTTTCATCAGCTGACAAACATTTAGTTTATCGATGACGTTACAAAGACGACAGGAAATAAAAATGTTCCTGAGCTCAAACTTCAGATCTGAGATCAGATTTTTATAATTTCCCCAATGGATTTTAAAATTCCTGATCAAGACCTGTACAGTATCCCATAATGCAACACTACAATGTTTAACGTCGCTACTCACCGGATCTCCTCTAAGCCCTCGCTGTCCTTTTAGCCCCGCCTCTCCTCTGATACCTGGGATACCCTGAGGACAACAGTGCAACCTGTCAATCAAACGGCCGGCGGTCAGAGGTCAACGCCTCCGAGCGCCACTCGTTCATCGGTGTGATGGCGTCACAGCTGAAGGGGAATTCCACTGAACTACAGAGAAACGCTCTGTTCTACAGATGTCACACGACACGCCCCCCAGGTCGTCAGCTAACGACGTTCATTCTTGTGTGATTGAAAAAAGGTTTAAAAAATGAATCCACAATAAATATATGATGTACAAATAGAATGTATAAATATAAAATATAAATATGATGAGTCTCAGCTGTTTAATCACTGAAAAAATATCCAATCAAACTTTCTCTCAATAATTCAATCTTTAAAAGACCATTGTTGAGTCCATAATTATTTAAATTATACTTTTAATTTACACTAAAACATTTATGAAGGTTTTTGCGTCATGGTCAAATTATTGTTGTTTAAACAAAGGTTTCATTTGTTGTTCATCTAAAAATATAAGTAAATGTTATAATCAAAGGTCAATGATCAGATGGTAATAATAATGATAATGATGTATTTTTACTGGGTTTCCTGGGTCTCCTCTCTCTCCTGGGTCTCCTTTATTTCCCGTCAGACCCTGAAACACAGAACCAGAGAAAACAGCTCAGGTAACTGGAGCCTGAAAATCCCACCTATCGCCTCATTTCCTGAACACACCGTCTCATTTCCTGTGTCATGGAAACCAAAACAGAGACAAGCGTGGTCTCCACTTCATCACGTGACATCAACAGATCTTATTAACCCGTCGTTCGACTCTAACGTCAGAGAAACGTCCCTCCTCTAGGACTCATGTGGAAGAAATGTCTCATTCCTTTGTCTTCGTGTGGAAACTAGAAGATCTGGATAAATGCAGGAACACAGGATTCTGACTGAAGAACGAGGAGCTGCTCATGTCACTCTGACTTTAAACACGTGTGTTTCATGTTTTTACATGTGACGGATTTATGAGATAAACATCTATATTAACATGTTAATCACCACACGTAAACATAACGACGTCATCACGAGCTACAACGTGAATGTTCTCGATATCAGGGTTTTTATTTTAGATCTAAACAGGATCGCAGAAACAATAATATCCTGCAGGGGGAGCTGTCCTCCCACCACCCCTCCTACGCCCTCCAGAGGAGGAGCTTCAGTCTGACGACCTCTGGCTCTAAAGCAGAAACTCCTGCGGATGATGATGATGATGATGATGACGATGATGAAGATGGTGTCTCAGGCTTGTCTTTGTTTCTTATCCACATGAACAGATTTGTGTTTGCTGATGTTGGTACCTGTTCTCCGTTGACTCCGTCCAGTCCGTCCTCGCCGTTTTCACCCTGTAACGTTGAAGGAGACTCGAGCATCAGAGTCTTTCTTTCCTCTCTGTCTACTTTACTGTTTATCTAAACATTCCTGAGGACACGCAGCCTATCACCCCCCCCCCCCTCGGTCACTCACCCTGTTCCCCCGGAGGCCTCTGTAGCCCTGTGGACACAAACCAGACAGTCAGACCACCTCTGGAAAACAATGATAGTTCGGTGATTCAGGGTGAGACTCAGCAGCTCTGTACCTTTGGTCCTCTGAGCCCAGAGCATCCCTGCATACCCTGCGGTCCGCTCGGCCCGGGACCCCCTCGCTCGCCCTGTTCCAAAAGTATCAGTCATTATAAACAGTGAGTGTGTAACACAACACGGAACACGGAACGAAGAACAAAGAACCTTGCACATGTTGATCTCTGACTCATTTAACCATCATGTTTAAAATACAGAAAACACAATGTGGGTCCAGCAGTTTAGTTTTTGTCAGATATTAAGTTCAGGGTGAAGAGTCACTCACAGCGACGCCCTCCTCTCCTGGGAAGCCGGGATAACCCTTCTGTCCAGACGAACCCTGTCAGTCAAACACAGACACGTTCAGACTCAGGAAACAGGATCATTTCTCCCGTCAGACGAGGAAATGGTTCACATCAGGAACATAAATGAAGAGTCGGACGACAGATACTGCTGGTATTCATTGTTTCTGTACAATGTTCAGGTACTTGTACTTTACTTTCTCCGACTACTCCTCTGCATTTATCTGACGGCTGCAAAGTTTTACTTTATAGAATAATGATATCAGAAAGTACACGTGTTTTGGTTTTTCTTATCATTTCTCACGTGTTAAGTAATTAAGCAAAGATCTGACTTCATGATTGTATTGATGTAAATGACCTGTTCTCACATCATTCTACTTTTGAACTGAGGACGTGTTCCAGCAGCTGCAGCTAAAGAGGCGTCGACACTTTGACCTCTGTAACACTATAACTTTAACATTGACCTTGGAATGCTGGGAACTGAAAGTGATGTTGAACCAGGACACTTTGTTTAGACGTCATGTTTAAACTTTGAAGGTTTGTATATCCTGCTCACCTTTGACCCCGGGGGCCCCCGAGAGCCTCGGATGCCTTCGTGTCCCAAACATTTGCACATGACGTTGCAGCACTCCCTGTCCGACACGGTGTCCTGCAGAGGGAACGTTCAACATGAGACAACACAGGTCACACACAGGGAAAGACAAACGAAGAATGGACATGTGATCTGTGTGTGTTCACATTCACCCCTGTGGACACACAATGAAAACCAAAGATGGTCACGACAGACTGAAGAGTCCGTCTCTGACAAACAGCTGCTGATCAGCCGGTCACGTGTCGGTGGTGCATTGAGGCACTTTGGGAAATCCCGTTGTTAGTTTTAGATAAAATGAGAAGAGCATCCGGTGCGGAAACAGACACAGAATGTGGTTAGCTTTGCTTAGCCTAGCTTAGCACAAAGACTGGACTAGTTTAACGTCGTTAGAAAGAGTTTGATGAATCTGGTTAAGCAGTTTTCTTTCGATCAGCTCTCTGATGTATTTTCAACCTCGAGATCAGTTTATTTTACTTTAATAAATCTACTTGTATTTCCAGTTATTATTATGGAATAAAGTGTCGGAAAAAAATAATGGATGTCGATCCTCACTCACAATCTGTTTGAGGATGGCACTGCCCACACTCTGCATGCCGATGCTCAGAGGAAGGTTGTAGCCGAATCCTCGGCCGAACTCGACCATCTGCAACTGGGCGGAGTCACGCACTCCCTCCAGAGCCACGACCAGCAGAGCGCTGATGCCTGCAGACAAACAAACACAGATGATGATTCAATAATATTTCTATATAAACAGCTCGGCGACTACAAAGTCATGTTCGGGTTTTTACCAGACTTTCGCAGCAGCTCTGATTCATGCTTCAGCTTCATCTCGTCTTCATCAAGTCCGTCAGAGAAGATCACCAGCACCTGATGAGGACGGTCACATGACAGACCGATATTATTGTTACAGTCTCCGTCATTATATAATGAGAACGTCCCATAATCCCTCAGCTCATGTACAATAGCATAAAGTCTTAATATATCGACTTTACTGGATCTACAGATAGTTTGCTGATTCTGTGTCTAACAACCAGCTTGCACGTGGAAAACAGTCTCATGGTTTGCTTAATCCTACATCGACGCCAGATTTGTGGCTTGGCACCGAAAAAAGACACAATGAGATGCAGAGAGTTTCAACAGCCACATGGGAATATTGAAAATCAATTAAGTGTAATTTTCTTAAATTAGAAATCTGATTTATTGCAGGCAGATTAGAGCTCTGTCGACATTTAACCATCTGACTGAGCTGTGTTCCGTTCACTTCAGCAGGAAACTAAAAGGATCAAATATATATAATATATATAATTTCTGAAACAGTCATCACAATCAGTGTCTGATGAATTTTCTCCTTCTCAGCGTCGGTTTTTGTTTTTATCACAAACTGTAAATTAAGATGGAACTTTATGGAAAAACTCCTTTACTGACGTAATAAATCAAGTGGACTCCCCGTGCAGCGCAGCTCAGTGAAAACAGAAACTCATGTCAAAATGTCAGAGTGGATTTTGTGTATGCAACATCTCACTCACCTTCACTTCAGCTCTGGACTGGTCACTGAACTTTTCCCCAAAGGATTTCAGCAGGGCGGTGTTGAAACGAGTAGGTTCCGTCAAATTCACAGCCATGACTTTATTCACCACGTCTTCACGGTGGACATCAAAGTTGGAGTCGTACAGGAAGCGCCCATCAGGACTCACCACTCGGAAGGCGATTTTGGTCTTAATAGGTGAGGTGCCGACGCAGCATAGGCCTGATACTGAAGAAACGTAACGGCCAATAACTGGTAAGAAAGCCTCGAGCTTGGTGTGGCCGCTGACGAGCTTTCCACCAGGAGCTCCAGTTCTGCTAGAAATATCAAATCCCATGGCGATATCGATGGTGCAGCCTGAAGAAAAAAGGATAAATGTCTTTACCTTGGAGGGTCTCAGACATACAGCAGTAAGTTGGGAAGACAGAGACAGACAAAGTCACACTTTTAAACTTACCCTTCTCGGGTGTGTCGCCGGGTTTGGATTTGCAGATGGTGTTCACCACTTTTTGTTTGATCGTCTCCAAGCTACCAAAGTTCTTCACATTAAAGCGCCTCTCTGGGCTGCCAGTAATCTGCACGAGCTCCTGGTCATGGGCATTTCCGATGCCGACGGCAAAGATCTCAATCCCCAGAGCCCTGAGACGTTGGGCTGCACCTACCACATCATCCTGTGATTCGCCATCTGTGATCAGCACCAGATTCTGGGAGATCCCGGCAGATATACGACTTCCCCGTGATGCTTCAAAATATTCCCTGATGGAATCCAAGGCCAGTCCAATGTTGGTTCCTCCATCACTCTTCTGCATATCCAGGATGTGCTTGGTCACTGATTGTTCAGAGTAGAACTGGTTGAGGTAAAACTCATCCTGTAATCTGCTACTGAACTGGGCTAGTCCCACACGCACCAAATCTTCACCGACTTTAAAGCTGTTCACTAACTCAATTGTGAAATTCTTCATGATGGTGTAATCCTCCCTGCTGATGCTGGAAGACTGGTCAACAAGGAAGACCAGGTCAGCCTTCTCTTTTTCACAAACTGCAAACGAAAAGAGAGAAATGTCCTTATTGATACGTGGTGCACTTCATGCTGCTGTCTTCACTGCATGTCTAGAAACATTCTTAGAGGATTAACTGAAAAACTGCTCTTTTATTGGCTTGGGTTAATCCTCTACAATGTAAATTTAAAACTGAGTTTAAGATACATTAACTTCCAATATGTACAACTACTGTGCACCAGGGTAACACTTCTACCTCTTACCTGGCTTGGTGGCATTGCAGAGAACTTCAGTAACATTGTTGAACAGAGTTTCCAGGGCTTCAAATTTGTCCACAAAGAAAACTCTGGACTTGTCATGACCAGCCATGATCTCTAGCTGAGTGATGTTCGCTCCCTTAACGCCGATACTGAAGACGCTGATCCCTTTGTCTCGCAGTGCCTCTGATGGTGCGACCAGGGTATAACGGTCAGTAGCGTCGCCATCTGTGATCACCATGAGAATCTGAGGCACCTGGAGAGCAGCTCGACCACCATGTTCAGCATCAAAGAATGGTAAAGAATATTTTAAGGCTTTTCCAGTGTAGGTGTCTCCATTTGGGGACTTCAGTGCTTCAATTGCTTGACGGACCTCTCGCTTGGAGCTGTACTGCTTCAGAGTGAAATTGCATTCGGGTTCGTTGGAGAAGATAATGACCCCGAAGCGAGTCAGGTTTTTACCAACTGTGGATTGATTCACCATTGACTCCATAAACCTCTGCATGCTTTTAAACTCTGTCTCGTTTATGCTTGTGGAACCATCCACCAGGAAAATGATATCAGCCCTCTCTGTCTTCTTACACTCTGGAAATAAAACCACAAAGAGCAAATAGAGTCAGAGGAAAGACATTTAAACTTTATTTATAATCTACATTATAATAGGTCAGTAAATTAAGAGAGCACTTCATATGCTTGTCATCTTACCCCCCTTCCAAAAAATGGATTGTTAGCCTGTTTACATGTTCGGCGTTGTAAGCTAGCAAACTGCTAACTATCAATCCAAGAGTCATTTGGGCTTTGTTTACAGGACAGTACCTTTCAGCCTGTGCTACGTTTGGCAGCCAAAACCATTCATTTAAATTTCAGGACTTTCCATCCATTGTGACCTTTGAGGACTCCATGGGGACTGAATCTTATATTGAGCAGGACACCGTAGACAGGTTGCCAAATAAAGACAAACAACCTCTCAGGTTGACATTAAAACCACTTTAAAGTCTCCAATTAACCTAACCCCAATCTGCATGTCTCTGGACTGTGGGAAGAAGCTGGACTACCTGGAGAAGCACATGCACACATGGGGGGAACATGCAAACTCCACAGAGAGAGTGGATTCAAAATAAGAACCTTCTTGTAGGTAACCCAGAAGTGAGCATCACTCAGGGTTACAAAGAGGGTATACAAAGTCTTACTCTCACCTCTCGATGGATCACAGAGCTCCATAGCCACCTGGCTCTCCAACTCCTGCAATGCGTCAAAGTTCTGCTCAGCATATACCTTGTCTTTTGAACCGCTGATCTCCAGCAGTTGGGTGGTGTTAGCATTCATAACTCCAATGGCATAGATAATCACTCCCTTGGCTCTCAGAGCCTCTGCGGGTCCTTTGACCAGATCTTGGGCCTCACCATCTGTTATCACCACCAGCCTCTGGCTCAAATCAGGACGGCCTCCTCTGCTTGCATCAAAATACTGCGACACATCTGTGATGGCTTCACCCGTGTGTGTGCCTCCACCAAGCTGCGTCATATCATCAATGGCTTTGGACAGGTCCTCTTTGCTGTAGTGGCGGTTGAGCGGGAACACAAGTATTGGGCTTGTGCTGAACTGCATGACACCAACATGCACCTCGTTCTGCGCGATTATGGACTTGTCAATGACAGATTTCATGAAGCCTTTCATTTTATTGTAGTCCTGGTAATCGATGCTCCCTGAGCTGTCAATCAAAAAGAGGAGGTCGCTTGGTCTGCCTTTGCAAGCTGTGGACACAGTAGCACAGATATGTTAGTGTCTATTGTGCTGTTTTCAAGGGTGTAATAGAGCTTAAATGTATATTTAATAACAGAATCCTTTCAGCAATAATTAAAGTGCAACACACACCAGCCACATCATGGAGCGCTACATCATTTACTTTTCTACTAGTGTAACACTCCCTGAATAGAGATGGAAGGAGGAGTCAGATTACAGTCAGTGATTTGAGCTAATCTGCAGAACAAATGAGAGTAAAGAGCATTCTGGGAAACAGAACAGTATAATATATTTTGATATTCAACTGTCGATAAAGATTAATGGATGCCCAATTGCTCTATGTGTAATGGCATTGACCACAAACTACATCATCTGCATTTAAATCCAGCTTCAGACCATTCTTATACGTCGTTTCCCATCATGCTACTTTAAGAGTCTGCCATTTCCCCACGATCAGCTGTCCTATAAAAGCAAGTAGGTGCAGGTGAGCGGATGTTGCGGGAGTGTGTCGCTCTTGTACTTTAAACTCCTGTAGAGAAAACGGTTCCTCACCATTTGGAGAACAGATGTCTGTGATGATTTCATCCTTGATTGGCTTTAGGGCATCAAAATTATTGACAAAGAACATCTTCTTTGAATCACTGGCAATCTCAAGCAGCTCCTCTTGATCTGCACTTTTCACCCCGATGGCATAGATTATGATGCCCTGAGCCTTCAGTTCACTCGCCGGAACCTTGACCTCATCAGCAGATTTTCCATCAGTGATGACCACCAGGTACTCAGGGACTTTGTGTCCTCGGGTGGTCTCCGCTCTGTCAAAATGTGAGCTCATGAATTTCAATGCTTTTCCTGTCTCTGTCCCGCCTCCTATTTGTTTGATTCCCTCCACTGCTTTCTCCAATGTGCTGGCATCCATGTGAGTTGTCAGATCAAACTCTAAGTTTGGTGAATCTGCATATTTTGCCACTCCTACACGGACATGATCTGGGCCAATGCGGAAGGTTTTAAGAAACTCTATGATGAACTTCTTCATGTCATTGAAGTCTGAGGGCCAAATACTTCCTGAGTGATCAATCAGGAAGAAGATATCTGCTTCATCTGTTTGTACACACCCTAGAAAGGAGAAGGAAACATATGGTTAGTTCTTTTTCAAATGCATCCTGAAGATGATCTCTTTATTTTGAAGAACTGTTAATGTTGGATGCTTTAAAGACTCTTAACAAACCTGGAAATATTATTATTATATTTGTGTATAATGTAGATATTCAAGTAAACAAAGTGAACTATTTAAAAGAACACTGGTACAGACCTTCTTTGATATCAGTTCTTCTTGTTTGGACGGAGACGGCTTGACGTAGAATGTTAACACAAAGAACTTTCTGCAGGTTCTGTTCCAGAGATTTCAGTTTGACAAAACTGTCAACAATAAACACATGCTTATTGGCGGGATGAGACGCCATCTCTGCCAGCTCGGCCCGGTTGGCATTTTGGACTCCAACAGAGTAAACAGTGACTCCAGCCCGACGGAGGTAAGCTGCTGCTCTGCTCACATTGTCCTGGGATTCCCCATCAGTGATCACGACCGCCACCTGCTGAACGCCACTCCCTATCCTGCTTCCTCTCGCCTCGATAAAGACATTGTCTCGTGTGTAATTTAGTGCCGCTCCAGTCTTTGTATTACCTCCATTGTACGGCAGAATTTTGATGAAGTTCAGCAGTTCCTCCTTGTTATCGAAGGTGTCGAGGTAGATGTTTGCTTTGGGCTTGTCACTGTAAGACACGATGCCAACTCTGACTTTGGATTCACTGACTTCAAACCCACTCACAATTGAGTGGAGGAAAGTGCGGACAAGTTGGAAGTTGGAAGTTCCGATGCTCCAGGACACATCAACAATGAAAACGATGTCGGCAAATTTTGCTGCTTTGCAATCTGTGAACAGAGTGAGTGATCATTAAGTCATCAATAACAATCTATTTGTGAGCCACTCAACAATTCATTTACCATTCAAGATATCAGATTCAGAGCAGGAATATGAAATTCTTCATACAATCTGCAAAAGTTGCAGATCCGTCCTGCCAGAGGAAGACATACAGAAACAGGTGCTGTCGCCAGGCAGCTTTTTCAGACAGTATTCAAGCTATGAGACATTTGTTAGCTCATTTCAATTGCTTCCAATTAAACGTCAAAAAGTCTGCCCAAAATCATCAGCCTGTCTTAAACACCCTTCAACGTCACGCAGAAAGAAGCCTTTTCTTAGTGTAACAACTTTTACTTGTTCTATGAAACTGATCAACAGGAGCACTACAACTAGAATCAGGGTTTTGGTACTTCTGTCAGTAGAACAGAGGCTTCATGTTAGTCACCTACTCTGTGTACCTCATGCAGGCTGTTTAAATTGGTTTCCTGCATAAGATGAAAAGGGCAACAGCAAAAAAGTTGTTGCAGATTATTTATTGGAGATATGGTCCTGTGAAATCTTCCACGCCTGAAATGTTAACCTAGAAGTTACTGTTTGACCTTTTCTGGCAAAACAGGAATAGGATGACCTTGGATCCAGGTTGGATCTCTACTTGTGATTCATCAGTTTGAGAAATGTTGAGCTACAGCCAAAACCACTCACCTCCAGTAGGAGTTGCTTCCTGGTCCTGTTTTTCAAAGAGAGCTCTCAGTACAGGTACAGCATTGCTGATAGAATCGTAGACATATGGTGCCGTGGCTATGACACGCATATCTGTCGATGGAGTGAAACTCATCCCGACCACAGTTACTCCTTCTGCTTTGACCTGACGAGACTGCTTATACACAGGATCATTTGACTTCTTTCCACCAATAACAACCAGATACTGTTGGTATCCTTGCTCTGCACGACCTCCTGCTTCAACGGTGAAAAACTGAGTGCTTGCATTCTGCAGTGCACCGCCCAGGTTACACGGCTCTTTAGGTTTCAGTGGACGCAGGCGGAAACGCTTAACAGCGGCCAGGGTCTCCGCCTTGGTTTGGAAAGTGTTGAGATAAAATTCTACCTTGGTATCTTGAGCATACTGAGCCAAGCCAAAACGGTAGGCAGATTCTCCGACTTTAAGTTGATTGATCAGTCGGTTGAGGAGGTTCCTGATCTGCTGAAACTCTGCTTGACTTAAGCTGCTGTCCACGAGGAAGAAAATGTCTGAAAACCTTTCTGCCAACGCTGAAAGAAAAGAAACCAAAAGAAACAGTCATGAGTTCTGTTATTACAAGAGATCAACCTGCCAGGAAAAAAAAAGCAATTAGAAATGATACAACTTTTGAGTGTGTCTTAATTAGAACACAATCATTTGAAATCCTACTGAATCTTTAGATAAACTCATCATCTTTGCCTTAAAATGTGAAAATACTGATAAATCTGAATCAGGAGATGTTCCAATGAACTTACATTTTCATTTGAACTCGAATGATCCGATATCTCTTTAAGTGTTTTTATGGCAGGTGCAATATTCAGTTTATTCTGCATCATTATGCTGCGTCTTACATAATACGTCCTTGTGTCCTGTTTTTACAATGAACTGCTCTGCAGCTGCTGTAGCACTGTGGCTCTACACAAACTTCCCCATGGGACAATAAAGTATATTTGATGATTTACTTTTCACATCTTAACAGGAATGTATTCCAGCAGTTACTAGTGAGAGAAATAGACTTTTTCTTAAAAGTCACAAAGGCTGTTGATTTTCAAATTAACGCTTTCTGGAAAAATTAGTTTTGAGTTTCAGAAAATAAACCAACAATTTTCTAGAATCAGGGAAAATTCTTTGACTGGATTAAAACTGTTTATGTAGCACAGGGAGGAGATCTCTGCCGGGCAGAGGAATCCTTTCTGTTCCCACGATTAACTTTCATTTACAGTAAGTTCAATACCAAAAACAACCTCTCTATCTTAATGTTGCATATTTTGGCCAACACTGCATTATTGCTGGCCAACCTCCCACATCCCTGGAACCAGAGAGTGAAAGATGAATCACTACAGAACCATCACGTCTGAAGACTCAAAGCATCGGAAATGTTACATGGAAAAACTAATTTATAGGACATTCTTTGTAATTCAGTTCAGCTTGAGATAAAATAAGTCGTCACATCTGGATTATTTTAGGCCGATTACGGGACTGTGGTTAAGAAGTCAGTATTCTGACTTATCTGAGACAAAACATGTGGATGCACCTATAACCAGAGCCAGCAGTGATGGTAAGGTGGACTTACATCTGCGTCATTGCTGCCAGGTAAAAACTACAGAACAGCAATTTCAGCTGGTGTTAAGTGGTTCTGAGTGTTATCATTTTGCTGCTGAAGATGTGTCTTATAATCCTTCGCCTTACCTTGTCTCCGATCCTCCATGGAGACACAAACAGTTTGCAGTAGGACCTCTTTCAGCGCCGCGAGAGCTTGGTAACTATGGATGGTGAATTGGAAGCGCTCTGTAGGTCTGCTGGCGATGGACTGAAGCTCATTTATGTTGGCATTTCCGACCCCGATGGCGAAAACAATCACCCCGTGCTTCCGCAGGCGCTTGGCCGGCTCTATCACATCATCTGTGGAGTCCCCATCTGTGATGATCACAGCGATCTGAGGCACTCGTTGTGCGGCGCGGCTCCCGGCCACTTCTGTAAAGTACGTGTCAATGAGGAAGTTGATGGCCTTGCCGGTTTGAGTGCCGCCTGCTCGGTAGGGAAATGCGTCTATTGCATTAAGCAGGGATTGCTTGTCCATGTGATCCTTCAGCAGGAACTCCTGGTGAGGTTCATCACTATACTGTGCCAAGCCAACCCGAACTTTGTCACGGCCAATGTCCAGACCTTCGGCAACACTGCGAATAAATCTCTGACCCTCCTGAAAGTTAGGGATGCCGATGCTGGAGGAGCCGTCGACGAGGAAAACGACGTCGGCCACAGTAGCTTTGGCACAGTCTGGACAGGAGGAAGAACAAAGTCAGAACATGGAGCAACAAGGTCAGAACACGTCTGTGTGCATGTGACCATTAGAAGATACCACATAAAACCTCGGTAGTGCTCCTTCACTGGAAAGACATTGTTAATGTGAGTCAAACATTAAATCAACCTGCATTCACAGCTCTCAATAAATGAGTATGGATCAGTTGTGTGTAGGATTATGGACAAAATAACACCTTAGAATATTATAGATTCGGGAAAAAACACAGAGTAGAGGTATTAACACTTCGTTGACTGCATCAGTGAAAACAATAAAAGCTCTCATATGGTGGCACGTGGAGCAACAATAAGGAAATATTGATTTCTGAATGAAGTAATGGTCCAGACTCAGGGAATTACATGATATGAATGGAAGCTCCAGAAAAGCTACTGAATTGTTTTCCGTCAGAGATAAAATCCCAGGTTGTTCTGTTATTTAAGTTTTAAAACTCAAATGACATTAGAGTAAATTCTGTTGACCTTTGAATCTCTTTGGACAACAACCAAAAAGTAAGAATTTGCTCTGACCACGGCTTAAAAAGAATACTCAAATCAGGAAATGGCCGCCTGCACAGTGGTATGACACGTTTTACCTTGAGACAATTGCAGGAGTTGTCGTTTGGCTTCTTCCACGGTCGTGCACAGCGTCTGGACAATGCTCTGAGAAATTCCCTGCAGAGCAGTGAAGTCAGACACGCTGTAGACATGCTGGCTGTGCGGCTCATTCGCTATCTCTTTCAGTTGGTCTTCGTCTGCATCTTTGATACCGATTGCATATAAAACTATTCCCTTACGCTTCAGATCTTGGGCGTGGGACTCTACATTGTCTTGTGATTTGCCGTCAGTGATCACCACAGCGATCTGCGGCACCTTCTGGTTAGCCCGGCTCCCGGCTCTCTCCACAAAGTGCTCTTTCATCATAAAGTCCAAGCCCTGTCCTGTCTGGGTGCCGCCCCCCATGTAAGGTAACTTGCTGATGTGCTTGAGGATGTCTGCCTTGTCCTGATAGGTGTTCAGTAGGAACTCGGTGCGAGGTGTGGTGCTGTACTGGACCAAGCCAATGCGAACGTGGTCAGACCCGACATCGAAGCTGTTGACCAGCGTGTAAAGAAACTGACGGATCTGCTCGAAGTTCAGGGTACCGATGCTCCACGACCCGTCCACCATGAAGATGATGTCAGCTACGGCCTCTTGTGTGCAGACTGAGGGGGAAGGTGGTCAAGTCATGGAGAATCAGGGCTTGGAGCTAAAAAGTCAAAAGGTGCTACAAGGAAAGCTCTCACTTATCAAGCGTGCCAGAGGTGCAGCGGGATTGACAGATAAAAGAGTGCAAGTGTCGCTGCCCACGTGTGAAAGCCAAGAGCTGCAGGGTTTCAGGTTGTGATGGGTTTCTGGACAGCAGCAGGCGGCTTCACTGAAAGGACTTACCTTCAGGTGGAAGCAGAAGCGTGAGGAAATGAAAACAGGAAGTTGTGTAGCTGGAGTGCTGATCCAACGCTACTTCTCCTTCAGTGTTTCCTCTTGTGTTCACCACAAGGTCTCAGTTCATCACCTCATCTCCTACAAACCTTTTATTCATGAGCATCGCTGCATCAATATTCATTTGACCTTAATAGTTTTCTCAGATGTTTTCCTTAACCTCAATACGTTTGGTCAAATATAAGTTGATTGATTGAACAGAAGAAATAACATCAGTACAGGTTAAGATAAATCAAATGAATTGTAATCTTAACTGCTGCTGCTGTTAAAACTGAATCTTGAAAACAATGATCTGAAAGCATTTGTGCTCTTGTGAAACAGTTAATGCATCATATCCGTGTGCTCAGCAGAAAAATCATTCCTGTGCAGGGTTAGTCATTGAGCTTGAATGTTTATAACATACACGAACATGCATTTCTGTAGAAAGTGATCTTACACACGTTGGGGGCTGATGTAAACAGTCACGTACGCTGTGATCCTTTACGTGATGGTATGCAGGAAGTTAAGTCATAGCTGCATAATCACACCCACCTGTTCTCTGAGCAGTGTTACCATAGAAACACGCTGCTATGATGAGGCCGAGGAGAAGACGCCGCCTCCCCTCCATGTTGGCTGAATGGCTCTCGGGTTTCCCTCTTCCTAAAGCACAAAGACAAAGACGGCCATAAATAAATGGAACCAGAGAACTAATCTGTTTCCCATCTGGAGGTGCTCACAGCCATTGGGGGGGGGGGGCCAAACCCACTATGACTGTGTTACATTAAACCCTTCCGAGGGATAAAGACACGTCTGAACTGTGGTGCACAACAAACAGGTTCTCACAGTTGGACATTTGGGGGAAAAGACCCATTAAAAGAGGAATTTACTTAAAACTTTTATGTGTGTGCCAAGGAAATCAGTCAACACTGTCAAACGCAGCATCTGGTGGTGGCAGAAGAATTCACATGATTTGGTTCAACTATGTGAATCTACTCAGCCTCCATATGGAGCGCGTGAGCTCGTGGAAGTCACAATGTCACTGATGCACGGGGAAGGAACTTATCAGACCAGATGACAGAATCAAACAGTTTGAACCAAACTATAACCTTTAGAAATGCTTTCATTTGGGTTGGATGTCCTTTCTCTTTGGTTAGATATTTGTTTTGTTGTGTAATTCCTGTTTGACCAGCTGATTCACAGGCTGAGACATTTGGTCCGTCCTCCTCTCTGAGGATCAGACATAGTCTCTAGTTCTGTCTGGGATCAGAAGCATCCGTGACTTCCAGAGTGAGTAAAGTGGGCGTCCTGTGCAGTTCTGGTATAAAGACTGAAATGATGCGTCTTGCATCGTCTCCTCCGAGGATCCAACAGTGACTAAATCATGAAGTGAGCCAGTAAGTCATCTAGTGTGTATTACAACAGAGAGTGTTACCAACACTCTTTTCTTTAGAACTGTTTATGTATCTGATGGTAGTTCAGGTATTTATCATTATGGAAGATATGACGGATTAACAGAAGCAAGAACTTTTCTATCTCAAATCTAATTTTGTTTCTGAGCCAAGGACCCAACAAGACAGACAGTATTCTGAGGACACCGTCATGTTTGACCCTTGGAATATTTTGACCTCGTCTCTTTTTGCACTTCGACCGGCTTAAGTGAAAAAAATCAACACGCAAATAAAAATAAGTGAGGATAAAAAAACAAACTCATGACACAGAACTGACGAGTCGTCCCATGATCGTCCTGATGTCTTCTGTCATTGAACTATAGAGCTGCTCACTGTGGGAACTGTTGGTGTTTATTTCAAATTAAATCTATTTTGTTGTTTCTTACTCCTTATTCCTCCTCATTCCTTACAGCTTCGCTCTCACATCTTTCCAGTGCACCCAAACACTCTCAGGCCTGGAGCCTCCCATGTGACTAAACTGGTCCTGGATGATACTGGATCTGTTTTTCAGCAGAATTACTGAAGTACTGAACATATTTCCAGTGAAGTCGGTGGGAGGGCAGGACATGGACCAAGAAAGAACTCTGGGACCAAAGGAGGATCTAGGTTAAGAACAATCCCACATATTTGAAGGCCTGATATCTATGAGTGTGTGTGTGATTCAGTGGTTGAATGTGAGGGGACTGAGCTCTACTGAGAGACATTCAGCCAGATGTTCTCACATCTGCACCTGTGAAGACTAGTCCTGATAGACACCATCTGTCCGGAGGACAGTAAATCTCCATATTGGCAGAATTCATTTCTTCAGACTTGTCTCCTCATGAATAAGATCAGTGGAGACAGCTGGACAACGGATGTGCTAACACAGACGTGCAACGACAGCGTGATGTGACCATGTGGGACACAAAACAAACCCCGACGGCTGAAACCTCTAAACTCAGTCTTACAGCAGTCTGTTGGATTGAAGCGTCCAAAAGTCTCAGTAAAAAGACTGTGTTCAGTGTTTCCATCTATTTCAACTCAGTGTAAAGGCCACGATGTTCTTGCTTCTCTAAACAATCACAGATGCTGAAGCTGTCAGGACGACCGTCTCAGTGTCCTCCACCCTGTTCAGGCTGTGAAGGGTTAAGGCTGCATCAGGACATTAAACGTCAGGTTTCCCTGAGCTTCAGTGTAGAGAAGCTGTGTCTGCATCACTCAGAACAAGGAGCAAGTTGTTTTTGCCTTCACCTGAATAAGGTGAGAGGGTTTTTTGGAGCGTAGACTCAGAGATTCAGCCTCGTGGACGTGGCTGCGACTTGCTTCTGCTCTGTAGTTGCACATAATATTCCACCACTGTGACCATCACATCCTCTGAGGCTGAAGAGAGATTTTAAAAAAGTTTTGGATTTCACACCATGTTCCAGCCGATTCATTTCAGAGAAACTCGGCTGTGAGTTGTTTCCAAGGTGTGTGGGATTAAAGAGAATTTCTTGAGAAATCCCCCCCCCCCTCTGTCCTCCAGGCATTTCAGTGTGAGAGCAGCTGAGTAAATGTGATAATCACCAGCTCTTGTACATTAATGCTAGAATGCTTAGTGTTAAACCTCCATCTATGTAATGGACCCCCCCCCCCCCCCCCCCACATCTTTAAGTCTGTGTTTAATCATCAGCTAAATGGCAGAGGCCCCGAGGGTGAGGGGAACGGGGTTCGCTCAGATGGGAAGCATGTGAAGGTAATCACAACACGGCGCTCCACTCACAGGCTGATTGCCCTTTTATGCGTCCGAGTCTATATACATGGACCTCCGCGCTTCACTCCAACCTTATTTATTTAGCCAGAGATTGTATGGATGTTCAGAGAAATGAGGGGCCTCATTGTTTGGAGCTCCGGTCCAAACTAAAATCAGGCTTATAGCACAAAGCAGAAGGTTCTGGAGAAACATAAGGATTTCCTCTTTGGTCCAGATGTTCTCTGGAGGTCGACTGAGGGACGATATCCGTCCCCTCAGAAAGGACAAACTGAAGGTCGAGAAAAAATCCTTTCAGATCAGACGGGGAAGTCTGTAACACCAAGAGTCCAACAGGGACTGAAAATATTAAGACGATCAGTGACAAAGTATAAAGAGATGAACGACCGTTTCCTCCCGATGTAGAAACCACACGCTGCCATGGTGGTGGCGTGGTGATGTCAGTGTAGTAGTGATGGAGGAGCGGACGCTTTATCTTCCTAACTGCACATGGAACAATTGGACTTATGTCTCTACGGTGACAAACTATTCTTCAGGCAGGAATATCAGATAAACCCCATAAACACAATGAGAGTGCAGCTCTACTGATCTTTTAAAGGATCACACCGCTCAGTCCTGTGGAAGCTCTACCAGTCCTCTGGCTTCTCTTATTGAACATTCCAGCACAGAGACACTGAGGACAATCAACAGTTTGTGTGATGGACGACACATGAACTCCAACTGCAGCTTCAATGCTCCAAAATCCACATCATGGAAGCTGATCCAGGGTTTTCCCCTCATGCAGCGCTGCAGCCGGTGGAGCGAGAACCATTCCGCTGTTTATGGTGGCTGCAAACAAAGAAGCGTCTGTTTTCACATCTGCTCGTAACTGGACGGTAGTTGTGCAAACTATATGTGACATTTAAGACGAAGGACATGACAGCTCATCTCAGTCGCCCCCTGGTGGCTGGCTGCAGTATCGGTCACAGATGTTTGTCAAAGATGTTTCTGTCATTTCAGGTCGTTCTTATCTCACAGTACGTTTACATGGGACAGCTCGATGCGATTAAGCCATATACCGATGTTGTCACTGAACGGACCGCTGTCACTTGTCTGAGTAGATACGCGTTCAGAGAATTGAATAAATGGCCGGTGCATGGCTGACTCCGCTACACTATGTGGCGCTGTAGCCCTTTCAACAAGTGGTTGTAGAGCCACTTTTGGTTGACCTACACGTCACAGTGTTAAACATATTTATCTCTTGTACTTGGTTATGAATGAACCAGGTCTCCTCGTCCATCCAGAAGTGAGTTGTTGATTTCCAGCCATGGTGTCGTTTGACCTTTTCCATCAACAACTAACTATTTATTACCAGAGCCGTCTCCTTCCACTTCCTGGTGAAAGCCCTGGCGGACATTCTCGAGCATACGCAGGATGCAACATTCGATTTAGATACGATGGCTGAGTATACATGCCAACAACGAACGACTTATCTAAGTGTTCTTTTCCGATTTTGAGATGTCCGTTATGGTCCTTTTTTTTACCGATAGATCGGACTAAGGTGTTTACATGCATTTTAAAAGTCCAAACTCCGTCTTATACGATCAGAAATTCGGTTCTTTGGCTGCATGTAACTCCACTGAATGTGTGATCAAGTGTTTCTGATTTCTGTGGGGACATGTTGTCCGTCTTTATTTATATGGTTTTAAACACTACCCACCAACCACCCAGATCCAGACATGGTGTAAAGGATCATCCAGTCAAATGTTACGTTGGCACAAGACTCTGCAGGGTTTTACTGCAACAGCAGAAACTCAAAACAACAACGAGGAGGAGGAAGCAGGACTGTGGCGCCTGAAGTCTCCGAGCTCAGGGTCTCAGACGGCTGCTTCACAGGGTCGACCTGCAAAGCTGGAACCAGTTTGACTGATGTGGATACTTGACTGAAACCTCTTTCAATGAAGAACACAAATTAACAGGACCAATAACGAAGCTCGGAGCTGCTCACACAGCGTTCGTCATCAGGACTTAATTTCTTCAAGGACCCACCAAGAGGCAAATCTGCCCGAGGGCTAACCAGCACGCCAATCATGAGTGACCCCGGAAGGCCCAGATTGCTCCGACCTCGAAAGTTAGACTCACATCTTGAGAGCACATGTTTGAACAGAGAGTGGTGCAGCATGTCTGCTCCTCTGCTCCTGCTCGGTCTGATAATAATCTGAAAGCTGCAGAACATGGTCAACAGGGTAAATGTCCAGAGGACTGTCTCACTTGATTTCTGTTCTGAAGAATCAAACTGTTGATCTGAGACTGAACCTATAACACTCACTGACATTCTGTCAAAGATCCTCCATGATACTATAGATGGAGTTCGTCCAAGCCTGAGGCGATAATTTGTCTTTTTCCTGTTTCAACGTGAAAGAGATGCTCATGCACGAAGCTCCATGAAGAATAGTTGAGGTGTGGACGAACCCGAGCTCAGCCTCGGGGTAAACATCTAACACTTTGAGTTCAGTTACAAAGGGAAACAACTGGAAAAGTCAAATGAACGAATTCAATCCAAACACAGACTCAAACTCTTTAATTCAATGTCAGCTTCAACGACTCATCAATAATATGCAGCACTCACAGAAAACCTAAAATAAAAGAGTCGTGACAGTCAACTCAAGTCGTAACGCTGATTAGATCCCTCAACATGAAGATGCACAGAGAACGTTTCCTTTAAGAAAATAACGATTAAAGATGTAAATAAAGATTGTCAGGGATTCTGTGGGTGTGAGCACAGCTTGACTCTGACAGCAGCAGCAGCACATTATTGAATAAACAGATGTAAAACATCCTACTGACAACTTCCAGGTGTCCACATACTTTTGGCCTGTTTCTACCATGCATTGTGAATATAAAGAGTTTCCATATGAGGGAGATGAGCTGAGATCCAGAGGTTTCATTGCTCATTACATCACAGCAGGAGGTCAAAGTTCACAATCTAACAAGTGTCTCTGCTCAAATGTGCCAACTGTCCCGTCCCCAGCCTGAGCTGCACGTTCTGTAACGCCCACCAGAGACGGGGCCCCCTGGATGTGGCCCCTGCTGCTTAACATCACCAAACACAGCAGGGCTGAGGAGATTCCCTCCTCCCGTGTGATTTACCGATGGTGTTTGAACGGCAGATGTTTGTGCTCTGACTAATCTAAACCTGAGGACTTTGTTATTTCAATGTATGGAGGTGGTGTTTGGAGCAGAGCTCAGAGAAAACAGAGGTGCAGCTTCAGCTGCACTGTGAGTTCACGTTTCACACCAGAAACATTTCTCTTTATTTGGGAACTCACACACGTGGACGAGTTTTATATTTGTGTAAATGTTCAGTACGATAACTCGGAGTTTAGAAAACACAGATATTAAAGCTGACGTGTGGAGGTCGGGGGGGGTGCAGTTAGTGACACAGTCATTCAGGAGGACAGATGATGACGTGATCAATAATTAAGTGTGTTGAATCTGAAGAGAAGTCGTTCACATGAGACGAGCAGCTGTTCACAAGTGTTTACTGACGGCAGCCAGACCACATGAAGACCATCAGTCATTCAAACTACACCGTGTTAATCCTTCTGTTTAATACTCACAGGAAATATTTACTGAGGCAGAATATTGAGTGAAATATTGAGTATTACACTAAACAACCATTACCTGCTGTCATTCCGCCCAGTCACACCGAACAAGTCAAACAGTGGAGCGCGTGCCCTCGTCAGCATGTTCCCCCGCTCAGACTTCGGGAGCGAACGAGCCAACTCTCTGCTAATTGAAAAACTTGGTGGTTTCCCAGAGTTCACAGCGAGCTCCTCTGGGGCTTTGAGCTGCCATAAAAAACAACAGGGTGAATAAGTTGCGGTCTAATGGTGTCGCAACTCAGACAAATTCTCTTGGGAACAGTGAGGGTGCAGAGGAATGAGTTCGGCGTCAGACTGTCGCCGATCAGACCAGAACTCCTTTGAGGATCAGTCCATTTCCTGTTTGACTCTTCAAAGCAGAGTCGTGGCATGAAAACACAAGAACTCATTTGAGATGTTCAAACTGTGAGGTGCTTCTACAGGGACGGGTGGACGGAGACACGCCAAGTAAAGACGCTAAGTGAAAGCTGCAGGTGCGTCCTCATCTCAGGAACATGTGGGGGACATTCAGGCGAGGGGTGGAGCCTGTAGAGCAGCAGGAGGCGGGACATTGTTTTTTTCACGTTCCTCAGAAATACTCTGATGACAACATGAGAAGTCAAATCATCTTTGTGACATTTGAAGTTATGTTTAATTTTTCAGAACTAAACATAAGAAGAGAAAGACGAGGATCTGATTAAATGTCAATAATCGTCTCTTTAATATTATTTATTTTTGCTTTTATAGATTCAAAGACTCGTCATTATGATTTTGTTGCGATGCATCCTGACGTTAACTGAGGTTGTGTGTTGTTGTTGTGCAGCTTCTCTCTTTGCGTGGCAGCTCGGTCAAATCTAAGGGTTCGGGTTTCAACGCTCCACTGATGAGTGAAGATTGAAATCTGCAGGAAATTCCTCGTCATGAAGAAAAGCAGAAGAAAGTTGGGAGTTAATTTTGTCCACAAACATCCATACCAACGTCCCGTAGAAGGACTCACACACGACCACCAGCTATGAACCTCTATTGGCTCTAAAAGCCACAAACTCACCACAGAGACCACGAGTGTTGGAGACTGGAGCTCAAGAAGAAGAGAAATGTTAGCTCCATTGAACACACGAGCTTTTACAGCCGCTTGTTCACTGATTATTCAGAGTCAGGAGGAGGAGAGAGAAACCAAACAAGTGTCAGACAGAGCGTGGCCTCAGACCAGTCTTCACACATGGACTGTGGAGGACGTCCAGAGTTCATGTGTGACAGCAGCTCGGGTCAGTGTCCACGATGAGGGACAGAGTCTTACCTGGTTCAGGCTCAAAGACACTTCGGCAGGACGGGAGGCTCAGAGACTCAGAAGATCCTGGATCACAAAACAAAGACGTTAGACACCAACCTCAGGAGTACTACTGTTATCAGTACTACTGCAAGTTCTGACACTATCAGTACTACTGCAACTTAAAATCTGAATATTAGTGTCCATGTAAACATACTCACTGATACTTCTGTCTTTACTCTGACTACTGTCACTACTCTTCTTTAATACCTCTACAGCTACAACTACTACCTCACCTCTGACTGTTGCTTTTACAGCTACTAGTAGTACTGTAAATACTACTTTTACTACTGAATGTATAAACAAAGGTTCCTGCTGTGCACACACATAAATAAGTGTGTCAAACTCTAAACCTGTGAACAAATGAAGCTTTAGTCACAGAGTTGGTGTCCTGAGGCCTTTTCCTCCAGTGTGACCTGAACCTGTGGTTACCTCTTCTTGGGGGGCCCCTCTCAGCTCAGGGCCCCATAATGTAACTGCCTGCTCTGCCCACCCTGTTGAAACGCCCCTGGCTGGTACTCTGACAACTATTACTACCTGCATATTAGCCATCATCAGTACTGCTCCATCCCCACAAACACAAGTGTACTTCAGTAGTACTAGTACTCAAGGTTCCTTCATCCTGATGACTGATGCTGTAAAACCGCTGCGGTTTGGATTTGAAGCTCGGAGCGTTACTCTAAACCTCTGATCCATTAGTGTGAGCAGAGTTTATACAAACTATAGAAGAATCCAGATAAACAGGAAGAACACGGAGGTTATCAGCGGCCGGGTGGGTGTGTGGTCTGTTGTTTACATGACTTCACTAAATAGACCCAACATTTGGTCGGAGCAGTTTAGAACAACAGCGTCACACCTGCTCAGCGGCTCCGAGGCGAGCGTTACAAACAGGAAACGGGCTGATCCAGTTTCCTCTTTGATTAAGGTTCACTAAGTTTTCAACAACAAAATAAGTGTGAGGCTCTTCCACTTGAGGCTAATGACACATTCTCCATGTTGGTTGTTTAATCCATCTTTGGTCAGTGAGCCGACAGAAGCAGCTGAGGAGGAAACACGAGAACCTCCAGAGTGAAACATCTGAAGGGAGGAGCTGCTTCCTGATTCCTCAACAATCCTAATCTCATCATCTGATTGGTTCTCCTCACTAATGACTGGACATTTAGACTCTCGGACCAAATAAGGCCTCAGACATCGCTCTGTTATCTGTCATCTGTCACACACACACAGACATGGACACACACAGACACACAGACTCACACACACAGACTCACACACACAGACAGACACACACACAGACAGACACACACACAGACAGACACACACACAGCAGATCTATGATACACAAAGAGAAAATGAAGAAGGATTTAAACAGTGAAGTAAGTTCAGAGCAGTCGAGCTTTCAGAGGTTTGCTATAGAAACCATAGAGGAAGATCCTGGAACGTTAGAATCTCTAATCATTTGAATAATGTGTCTGTGACACAGTCCGGAGATAGTTAGCAGCTGTAGAAACAAGATTTAACAGAAAACACGTGTCGGATAAAGAATGATTTATCTCGTCAGAATAAAATAAATCACAATGACATTTTTAAAAAGGAGAAACCAATAGTTACTCATTTATTATTACTAAGATTTAAAGGCTTAAAGCATGACCAATGTTTCAAATAGAAAAATGTAGAAAGTTAAATCAGGAGAAATGTGCAGAGCTGCACTCCACCCTCTGTTCCACGTCTGTTTCTCACTTGTTCTTAATAAACAGCGTGAACCTGACGGCCTCGTTAGACACTGACACCGAGTCTGTTCAGTTAAGACTCAGTTTAACAAGGTGAAGTGAATAAAGATGAGGTCACTGTTGAGTGGCACAGACATATTTCAGTTCCCTGCAGGAGTGTTACGTAATGAAGACTATAGAGTTTTAAGAGAGAAGCCGCTCAGAGGTTTGAATCAGAAACAGATGAGGTGCAGATGGAGGGGGGGGGTCTCTCTTACATTAAGCAGAGCTGTGTGGAGCATGGACGCTCAACAGAGACAAAACTAAAACATGAGGGAGAACAAACTGATTTAAGATGTGACTTTATCTGCAGCTAGAGATTAGAGTTGTAACTATACCGAAGACAAAACAACGTAAACACAATAAACACACACAACACTGATAATGAAAAAAACAAACCACAGCAATTTCAATAAACACCGAAATAATATAGTTTCTCTTTTGTCCCGTCACTTCACCACCGTGCCTCCTTTTATTTGTACTGTCACATTTAATCGTATATATATTTAAGACACTTAAACTTAGTGTGTGGATAAATGACAGGAAGTGTTTGTAGCCACAAACGTCCTCCGTCTCTCATCAGGAACCAATTCAAAAAGACAAGTGCTCATAAAAAAAACTAGAAACACATTAACTGCAGTTAAATTTGTTTTTGAATCTCAAACATCTTCGATAGTTTTGTCATTGCTGAACTTCTGTACAGTCTTTATACTCAAACCTCTTGAAAATATTCTTGGGTTGGATCCGCAACACGACAACATCGAGCATTGTTCTGGAGAATTTAAAGAAAACACATGTGGAGAATACTTGGACCCGACATGTGTTTTACATCGAGTTGTTAAAAAAAACTCCACACAGTGAGGACAGTGAGGACAGTGAGGACAGACTCTGAGCTGGAGGACTTATTCTAAAAGGAGCAGTCTGCTGGTTTTTCATGTTTTCACTCATTCTGCTGTTTTATATTCAACAAAATGTCTAAAACATGAAGGTTTGATTTAGAGGTGCAGTAAAGTAATGAAGTCAATGTCCACATTTGTTCAAGCCTCTCAAAAGTGAGATTATATATATTAATATTCCTGAAAATACACTGAATGTCTTTTACTTTTTGTTCTAACTCATTTTTTGAAAGCGCCACTTTGAGCTTGAAGAAACTGAGCAGAGGTTTTTCCTTTGTTTTACATTAAAAGATTAAAATGGTGAATCTAGAAAACAAAGCTCAGAGACGAAACAGATATCAGAGCGTCCTGCTCGTAGAAGCTAACAGCAGCCTGCTCAGTTCACAGTGATAAAAACAAAAGGTCAGAGTCAGAGATGATAAATCAAATCACTTAAAAAAAAGACCAGTGTCTCATTGAAGACGTTTGAACAAAAGATCAGAATCTGCAGGAATTCATACTTTTACTTTGAATCCACCACAAACTGTTCAGTTCAAGGTTTTGTCTGAAAAACTCAAACTATTAAAACATTTGATTGGCTCACTGTGAAATCTGAATAACTTTCAAAGTCATGAAACACATTAAACCCAGCAGGAGACAGGAATGAATTCATGTGGATGAGGTTCTTCACTTTCTTAGGATCGGCCCGTCCCCCAGCAGCTCTGACCTCAAACCAATTAGCTTCATTTCAGGCTTTAAAGCCAAGAGTCCTGCAGACTGAAGGTGACAGGTAACACACACAAAGCTGCACATTCTCCATCCATGTCCCAAAGTCACATGTCACTGTTTATCATCTGCACACCACAGTCAAGGGAGTCACTTACTTTAGTGCCGCTCTGCGTCCGCACCCTCTGCAGCAGACCACACGAGTCCCACGGACATGTGGGGAGGTGCAGACTTGTTGCAGCAGATACCCCTCCCAGTCGTCCACTCCAACCAGAGCCCTCCACCCGGCAGCAGAGATGGAGGGAAGCAATTCTCCACAACTCCTCCTGGGAGGAAGGACAACCCGAGTTCTCAGGAACACAGGATGCTACTCACTCCGTGTTTGAGGATTCAGAACAAAGATAGAT